CGCGTAATATCTCTGACCATACGAGTAAATGGAGATTTACTTACTAAAAAATTTGTAGATTTTTGATAAAATCTTATCTCTTTTAGTACAATCGATCTAGGTTTCTTTGTAGTCTTCTTAGCGCTTTGACTAGCTGTTATGTTTGGTTTTCTAATACTAAAAGATCTTCTTTCTTTTGTTTTCTGATCTTTTTGTTCAGGCTTTTTATGTGTACTTTTTTTTGCTTTTCCCTTGTTATTAGTGTTTGTCATAGCAGTTCTGGCCATTTTTTTGTGAGGGGTCATAAAAAATAAAAAACTAATAAAAAAGGAGGGAATATTTTTACAAACAATAGTTGTATGCAAATATTTAAATAGAACTATAATATAATTTTTTATATATTTCACACAATAAAATAAATATTTAAAATAATACTAAAGTTGGTTAATTATAAATTTTGCAAATGTAAGTTTTTAATTATATTAAAATATCGTTATTTTATATACTAAATTTTAATCCTATAAAAGAAATAATCTTTATAAGTATTTAAATTGCTTTAATTAAGTCTAATTTTTAATTGTGATTTTGGGTCTTTTGAATATCAGATACTAATGTTATTATATGTAATTTATTAAGAAATGTTGTTATGAATAATCTTAACATATTTTTTATAATTTATTACTAAAGTTGATAAAATTGAAAATGTCTAATATTATTAGTTAAAATCAAATGTTTTTAATTTTAAAACATTTATTATAAGTAGTTAGAGATTACGAAGCAAATAAAATAAAAAATTTCATAAAAGCTTTTGATTCTGGTAATGTTATTTAAAATTTAAAAAATATCTTATTATCTCAACTATACTTGCAAGTTCTTAGAAAGACTTGACAAAGTAAATTTTTTAAGTAGCATTAATAATATTAAATTATAAAATTTGTTTATCCTTTAGTCTGAGTAATTTATATCGTTATAGTATTGTCGTGGAAATAAGCACGTCAGCTTTGAGACAGTTTATGATGGTATTTATTGCTGGCCAATTAGCTGTTCTTATCGCTGACTGCTTTATAAAGAATCACAGGTGAAACAAGGGTTCACGTTAAATATAAATAGCGACTTTGGAGTGAAGGATGTTTTCTACAAATAAAGAGTTTAATTAATCGTTATATTTCAATAAGTATATTTGCTTAGGTTTGATTCATTTTTATAAACATTAGGTAAAAAACATGATATTTATTAGGTATTAAGCAACATTGTGATTAAATAAAAAAACTTACAAATTTGTTAGTAATAAAGAAATTTAATGTTTAAAAAAAGTAAAAGACATCATAAAACCAATATAATTTATAAAAATATATATGTACAAGTTTTTGGGTCGCCTTTTACTTTTTAAAACAAACTTTACCAGTTATTTATTTTGGTTGTTAAATTAAAATTAGAAGAAATTTTTTATATTTTAAAAATTAAGATATTAACGATATACTTATGCAAAATTTCATATTTATACTAAAAAATTTAATTTTTTTTACAAATCAGTAGTAGTTGCATATTATTACCCAAACAAAGCTTTTTAAAATTTTTTAATAATATACCCTTGTATTTAAAAAAAGTTGTATGCTTATATTAAAAAATAAAACAAAAAGGCAACCTATAAAATTGAATCATATGACCTTTATTTTGTAAATTGCATCAAATTAAAATTAGCTTAGTTAGAATTTTGCAATTTTTATAATTTTATTTGCGGCGAAGCTGGATATCGATTATTTATTTACTAAGTTCATGAAAAATTTGTATGCAATAATTTTAGATTTTACTTAATATATATTCAGAAGATTTTGTATTTCTATTCGATACTTTTTTGGCGTATTTAACAATAGGCATCTATACCGGTTAAGATCCAGGCATAACCATCATTTTGACAAGCATAATTTCTCAAATCAACAAAATCTATTATCAATCTTTCAAAAAGTCTGATCGCCAAAATGTGTTTAAATTTCTCTTTTGATAGGTTGTGCTTGTGCACAAATATTGCATTCCGCACATACCTCTCTGATAAGCAGTCTTGGTATAGAGAAATACAGTTGCTTGCATAGTCCATATAAACGATTATGTCCATAATTGTTGTGTCTGTGCAAGGTCTGTACCTCAAGCTTCATTTCAGTAGTCATGCCCTCAACAAAGACACGTTTGTAGTTTTCATCTACATTTTTAAAAAAATTAGATTGTCTACCAAAACAAAGTTTTCGCATCTTTTTTATTATTGATGCTTTGCTTGATTATAAATTTCATTTATCACTTCTTTACTCCGTAAATATTGTACAATATTTTGGTACCCATCATTTTCAACTGGTGCAATTATGGGATAAAATTTTTAAAAAAAATATTCATCCTAGATTTGTATTGCAAAATAATTTTTTATAGTTATTCTAGCTAGACGTATTGTAGACAGGGCAGTATGCTTGAATTAAACCCATGTCCCGGGGTAGTGTCGGGGGAAAACAGCAATGCTGTTGTTGATAGCGTGCGTGTGGGGCCATATATAATTCTAAGTATTAGTAATGCATTTAAAATGCTAAGTGATAATTAAAAATAGTAAAGAAGTGATGTACATTCTTTACTCATCTATACCTTAATCATGCGAAGTTAAAAATAAAATTAATAGAAACAGTAAGGTAAGGTTATAAGTACAAACCGCCTAATTATATTTTAGCAATTGTAAAAAAAATAAAAGAAAAAAAATCAATCGGACTCAGATATCAGCTAAACTCGCGACAAATAATAAAAATCTATTTGTTTTATAAATTCTTATTAGTGAAATGTCAGTTCGTAAGATTATTTAAAGCAGTATATAAATGTTTGAAATTACAAGTACATCGCAGTTATTTATGCTACTGAATTCCATGGATAAAAAATTGTCCACTTCTTTTTATATTTTTTATTGCTTAATCTGTTTAATATTCAATTGAATTTTTTTTATTATTACTTAATTAGCTTCTAAATCAAATATACGCATAATTATACTATTAAAATATTTATTGAAAAATTATATTTGTTAATTTAACATTATTTTTCTTATTTTTTCCCTTAGCCTTGTGAAATTTTTAGAAAAAATTTTTATTATAATTTTTTATAAAACTTTACTTTTTTTCAAAGTTAACTTTGAAATATTAAATACATTGAATTATCTAAAAACAAAAAAATTTGCCAATATTGTAATTGTTAAGAAAGATTCTTTTAAAGAAATTTGGTCGTTTGATGATATATTTGTTGCAGAGAATTTTTTGTTTTATACGAATATTAGATTTTAACTTATTTGTAGATCTAGAAAATATATCGGACTACTCAAAAGCATTTGAGAATAAAGGACTATGTGGTAACTAAGAAGTACAACAGACGAATCTAAAACCATTTTAACAGAATTGTAATATTATTGCGAAAACTCAACTAGTTCATTGATATTAAATGAATTGACAAATACATTAAACGAAATTTAAACAATGAGTATAAGAACGTTAATTATAATTTAAGTTATCTTTCGCCTCTAAAAATTTTTAAAGGCAATTCTATGCCACACAATAGCACACACTATTAATGTATTTGCGCTCAATATCACGCGTAATTAATGTTTTACTAATGAATGTGATAAACTAAGTTGTACAATATCTCAATCAGTTAATAACACAATACATTTTAAAAGTTACAACAGTAGCCAAAATAATACAGCGGACTATTTCTAAATAATTACACTCTGCAATTAAAACATTTATTTATTATATAATACAACACAAAATGATTTATTACAAAGCCAATATGCTAATTAGGAAATATCACTTTTTTACAACCAAATTATAATTTTTGTTTTTACTAGATCATCAGTCAAACTACAGGAAGACCAATTGTATAAATAAACATAGTAAGTGTTTATTTTATATACCATTATATTATACTAATTGAGTGTCAAATATAAACCAAAAATTAGTATATTCTTTAATAGTATTTTCAAAAATGATAACAACGTGAAAAATAAAGGAAAAAAATTGTATATAAAAGTTATTTCCAAAGTTTTAATAAGGCACAATAAAAACATTTTAAAATAAAAATTAAATAATTTAATATTAAATTTTTAGTGTATCATTTTACAGCTAACAAGCGTAAAATTTTAAAAGAATACAAAAAGATCAAATATTATTTTAAAAAAAAAAGTAAATCTTGAATAATAATCAGATATCGAAACTTTAAAAAACTTGAAATATCAAATCTCTCCTATGGCAAAAAACAATTTAATTTTTTCTTTAACTAGTCTTTTAAGTTTCTTAGATACTATAAATGCAAAGAAAGAGAAAATATATAATTTATAAAACCTTTAAATTAGCATGTAATTAATTTAGCGAGTATGCCAATATTTCTAAAAAATTAAGAATTTATAGTCGAATTGTAAAAATTTACAAAATAATTTGTGATAATTATATTATTCTTCTGATCGTAATTTTTATAGATGAAATTAATAAATTTTTTGTATTGATGAGAAATTATTCCTTGTGTAAAAGTCTCACAAAAAAAAGAGATGGTACTGACAAAAAATAATCAACAATAAAAATTAAACAATTATAAATATTTTTTTACTGTTATAATATGCTAAACCAATACTACTAATTTTTTGTTGATTTTTTTTGTATATTTTGTACAAAATAAATTAAAAAATGTATTTTTATGTTTTAAATATATTTACATAGCCTAAAAGCATAATATATACTATTTTGATAAAAAACTTAAAAGTTTAAATTGTAAACAACACTATTAATCTGTGCAATGAAGTGGTCTAAAGGTTAAAATATAGCTTTTTCAATTTGTTTTTAAAGAATATAGCTATGTTGGGATCAAGGCAATTTGAAAATAAATGAATATTATTCATTTTATAAAAAAAGCACCGAGAATTTCAAAGCGAAATTTACATAATTGGTGATTAACCCAAAGAGTTTCTTAAAACATCACGACTGTGTGTGCAATTAGTCACAACTAATTATAAAAGAAGTATTGGTATTAATAAACACGCTATCTATCAACTTTAACAAATTATTTGAACGTTATTAACCTAGAAAAAACTTTAGATTTTTAAATTTAAAAACAATAGAAAAATTATTAAAGTTTTATAGAAAATTTAAAAAAATATTTTTGATTTGAAAGCATAACATCATCATAATTATTGCTACTCTTTGTATTAGTTCTTAAACAAAAAAACAATTGTTGTTTACAACTTTTTTCGTTGTAGAAAATATTTATATGAGTTTATTTAATTATTTTATTTGTAATTAAAAATATCCTTAAACCTGTAATTGCATAAAGTTAATTAACATAATATTTTTTTTTTTGTTTATTTATTCAGCTGAAAACTGATCGATATGTCAACAAACAAAATGTATTGTTGCTAATAAACATTGACATTATTTAATGTATATATTATTTTAGAACTAAAACATCTTAAAAATATTTTTTTAATTAATAATATTTATTTATATTTGCCTCAATTTGTCGCCCAAATATGCATTTAACGTATTTTTTAGTAATCATTTTATGCACTGAAAATATTAAAAACAAAAATATATTGGATTCAATATATTTTAAAAATTTTGAAAGATTTATTGAAGGTCGTCATTGTCTTTTAAATAAAAAGCTACTTTTGGAATTTTTAGGTGACGAACCGTTTGCAACTGAGAAAATAGAATTATTATTTGATATATGTAGAACAACATACAGCATCCTTAAGTTTGAGAAATATAACTTAATTAAACCGATATTGATGAATACAAGTGTTTTACATTGTAATTGCAATAATTTAAGCTTAAAATCAATATTAATTGCTACGTTTACATCAAGGCTAAAAGATTTCTGCCTTTTAAGTGATATTAAGTATAAAGCGGCGTTTATATCTTATGGTACAAGATATTATCAGCCGATCACACTAATTACAAAAAATAAAACTAATATGAAAATAATAAAAGCTATTACAGAAAAAATTTACGCTAAGAAGGATAATTTTTTCAAAACCTTAAAATCTCAGTCGCTAATTTTAGATGGTAATCTTATTTACGAATTATTTTATATTATTAGCTTAGCTGAACAAACTCTCTCAAGATATTCTACATCTGAACAATCTAATTTATACGAAAATTTTTTAAATTCAAAATTTATTGAAACTGTGTTTAAAATTCAACAAAATAATAACTTTCCAATACATGCTTTTTTATTATTTGATAAAAAGGAAGATAAATTAGATAGGATTAATTTTAATTGTTTTGAAGAAGCATTAGATATTAATTTTCTAAACAATTGTATCGATTATGATTCTTTTACGGATGGTATTAATTTTAGTTCTTTTATAAATTCAACTGAAAATTTTGACATTTTTTGTGATGCAACAATAATTTTAAGCTTTGAATATGCAAATTTATTCTTAGGACTAATGCAATGCTATTCAAAACATTTAAAACGAAATATATTGTTGAGAGTTGAAAAACATTATAACGATCAGGTAAATGTAAAATTTATCATTTGCAATGAAATGGAATATGTAAAAACAATAAAGGAATATTATGTAAGGGCTTATAAAAGTGCTTCAGACGTTAGTGCTGAAATAGAAACTCTTGTAAAAACCGATAAATTACACGAATTTACAACATTATTAGATCTAAATACATATTCATTTAAACCTAATGGAACAAAAGGGATTGATGGTTGGTTTTATTGGTTAAATTGTGGTCATTTTTTAGGATTTGAACTAATTGATGACTTTTTAACCAAATTAGATCATAATTGTCATTTATGTAGGAAGTTAGTAGGTATTAAAATATGTTTTCAACATAAAGCATACAAAGCTTTATAAATTTGGTTTATATGTTTAAATGAAACAAATAAACTGTTTGTTATTTTTTTAAGCATTAAATAATTTTTTTGTCAAAAAAACTTGAATATTGCCTGTAAAATTTATCTATAGTTTACCTGAGTAAGTGAAATTGAGAATTAATGTATAAGTAATTAAATACATGAAATATTGAGCAAAAATAAATTTATAGATTTATATTATTTTTTCTATACTTTAAAATTCTAAAAAAATTTTTCTTCTTATTCTATCTTAATTTTTGATTGCTAAAGTAATAAAATTGTTATGTTAAGACTTTAAGGATTTAAATAGAACTCGAAATAATTTTATATGATTGAGGAAAAAGTTTAGAATATATAAAATTGTTTACTAATTTTTTAGGAAGTACTTATACCGTATAATGTTTATCTGACACGTTCTAAGAAAATAACCAATCATTTATAACCAAATGATTGTAACAACTCAGACCAAGCCATTTGTTTTCTTTACAACCAATAGGCTTTTGCACTGATATAAAAAAGTATTTAACAAAGCTTTATTAAATAAAATATATCCGTTTTAATGACTAGCTTTTACAACAAATCAATTTACATCTCTTTCCTCAACGCCCCTACGTTACTGCCTAAGTAAAGCGGAATTATCAATCAAAATTCCTAAACAGACTGCAACATTGCAGTCAAAATCAAAAGTTTTATTATATTTTAACATTTTTACAATTAGAATTTAAATATTATCATTTTTGAAACATATTTTGCTACTTTAAAAAGCAAAGAAACTATAACAAATACAAAGCATGTTAATTACGTAAAATTAAACAAATGATAATACTTTAAAAACCATTTTTCCGAATGATTCTTGACTTTTTTAATATGTTTTTAATCCTTAATATGTATACAATTATTTTTTATGTTTGGCGGGGTTTAAAAAGCGTTTAAAGTAAGATCATTATTTGAATTACGCCTACCTAAATTCGTGTTGCTTTGCATTGTTTTTTCCTCCAGATTCCAGCTAAAAATGTATTTATAGTTAAAATAGGTTAAACTAAACAAACAATTGCTAGATGAAGGCACTGAAACTAAATGTTTAAGGTTTAAATAGAAAAAAAATTATTTTATTTAAAAAAAAGACTATGTGTAAACAAAATTATTAAAATGTGATCATGTGTTGGCTGCATCACGACATAAACATATTATTTCTGTATAAAGAAAATAATATATACTTTTTAAAAACTACTAACTTTTTAGTTTATGAATTTTTTCATAATTTTACTTGTACAATACTTCGTGGCTTTTTGCTAACTTTAAAATTGTCTATCTTTTCTTTTTTCCAAATATTTCTTTATTCTTATTTTATATAAATGTTTGACAGCTTAAAATTCCCGTTTCCATCAAAATTTAATTTTTATGTGATAATTTACCTCACAATTATATATGGTAAATAGTAGTCGTTTTATATAACTCGATATTGTCTAGGTTTTAATTTTGTTAAAAAAGGATATTAAGTTTTATAAATCAATTATTTATTTTATCGTTTATACTGTCTTCTTGGATAAAAAATAACGATTACAAAGAATTTGAATTCTTTCATTAAGAAGCTTACTAAACATTTCGTAAATTTTAAATAAACATTCAATTTCTTTTGCTATTGTGTTCGAAATGTTTTTGCATTCAGTTAAATAGGATGAATTATCAAAAGAATTTTTTTCTACCATATAAATCATTGTATTCAACTCTATCTTAAAATTATCACTGGCAGTGCTTTCTAGTTGTCGTTTCAAAAATAGAAGCGTTAAAAAATATTCTTTAAATGTTTTGCAAGATATAAAATCAGGAAGAACATACAAAAAACTAATAATTTCGTTAATTTGGCCATTTAAAAATTTAATGCATTTATTAAATTTTTCTAAACTTTTATTATCAATATCAGGCAGCTCAGTTTCTTTTAAAATATGCATTATATTATTTCTAAAGTTATCGATAATTTGTAACAGTCTTTTGCGATTAAAATAATCTTGTGCACGTTGCAAGACATAATAAAGATAGCGAAAAGTTTCAATAAATAAATTGATATCTATTGTTGTCAATTCTATATTCTCCTTTTGTACATAATATTCATTATTATCTTTCATAAAATTAATCAAAACATCTTTTAAATTCTTTTTTTTATATAAATAATTGATTAAATTATCTCCACCTACTTTGTAAATTCGATTAATATTTTTTATCAGTTTTTTTTGTTCAATTTGCGAAACTATCTCAATAAATTCTTTTTCTATAGATGTATAACTATCCTCAACATTTTTATTGCTTTCTAAGCATTGTAAAGTTTTTTTATTCTGATACTTAAATTCACAGCAATTTAAAGTGTAAAATAAAAGAAAAAAGTACAACATAGTGTGGACAAAAAATTATTTTTTTTATAATTGTTAAAGACTTTAATTAAATTTTTACGATCAGAAAGAATAAATTTTTGAAAAAAACATCAAAATAAAATGGGATAAAATTTATGCAATATCTTAAATTAAAATCTATCTTCAAAAAAAAATTGAATAAACATTAAGATTATGATAAAATTATGTTTTAAGAAAAATCAAAAGTTAGCTGCTTTTTATGGAAATTGATATTAATTAAAAAACTTAACAAAAATTTTCTTGTATTTATGCACATTTTACAGTTTAAACAATCATATTTTATCTAATTAAAAATACAAAATTAAACAAAATAATCAGAGCTTTTGATTGATTGTTAAAACAAAACATACTTATGTTAAAACAAGATAATATAATGTTGATATTTTTATTATTTGTTTGTAAACCCTATAATTTTTTAGCTAGAAAACAAATAAAATATTTGTAGCTCATATATTATTTGTCAATCTCTGCTTGTTTGAGTAATTAAAATATTTTATTTATTTTAAAAATAAATTAGATTGCTTATTTATGACAGGCAAAATGTTTTTCCGACAAATTTTTTTATTGCAAAATTTTCATTTGAATAATAGACATTTACAGTAAAGAGTAAAATATTCAAATATGAAGTTAGCTTGCCATATTGAAACATATTTTAAAATAAAGTAATGTGTCAAAAATAGCTAGCAGTGAACTATTCTTTAGGTAGTACTTGACCAAACTACCAAAATTTAAAGACTTTTTATTTAATTCCATCTTCTGGTAATTTTTTATCTATTTATAGCTTTTGTTTTAGATAAATGTAAAACAAATAAACACGAATTAATTAACTTTCAAGATTCATGTTTAATTAGTTTTATATTTGTAAAATGGTTTCTAATGTCACCAATTAATACAAGGACATATGTTATGATTATCCATAACATAACCAATTTTTATTTAATAAAAGGTGTTATAATGTTGCCTGCCGATAAAACCTAGGTCGGAACGATGCTTGTTCCGGACAAAAACATTGTACAGACTGAGTTGTGTGAAAGAATGCTTTTTACTGAAAACCATATTTATTAATGTAACTTTTCTTAAATAGTTTTTCCCCTTATTTTGCATCAGTAAATAATAATTATCCTTGATATATCATCTTAACAGAAATAGCATCGCAGGATGAACGGAAAAGAATATAGTTTCATCTTTTCTTAACTGTTATTGGTTGTGCGTGTTTAATACCTACAAAAAAAAATTTTTGAATTACCTTTTTGTAAATATTTTCAAAGGATTTTAAATCATTTATTAAGAAAAAGAACTAGAAATTATAATAGAAATATTTAATGATTTTATTACTTCGTACAAATTGTTAAAAACAAAAACTTTTATATAATTCAGATATAAAGTTATATTTACTGCTTATTTGCTAAAACACAAAATTTTAATTTTGCAATTAACTTTTTGAATTTAAAATTATTAAAATTTAAAATAATCCTTACTACATATTTTTACTTACGTTGTGGGTCACACGTTCAAAAATAAATATTTTTTTAACTTGCATTTGGGATGTTAAGAGAAGAAAAGGAATAATCTTTTTTTAAGTTATAATTTTTATACAATTTTTACTGTAAAATTTATTTGGTTGATATAGTAATCGAAACATTTTATGATTTTCTTCCATTTTGTGATATATTTCTTTTTTTTGCAACTTTGTTTACTTTTACAAAAATTTATTAAAAAAAACAGACTTTTGTTTTTACTAAAAAATTATTAAAAATTAGTTTTAGTTATGGTTTATGTCCGGTTTAGAAGACTTTAAAGAAAAGTTATGTTTATTTCAAAACTTAGTGGAAATTTGTGTAAAGGCTTCTTGTTAATCCCATTGTTCATCATTCCTTTATGTGTAAATATCCTATTTTTAGTTTTCACTTAATTAAAGATTACATAAACAAACAATATAAAAATGCAGCATAGTAAAGTTAAGCTAAAAGGAAAGCGAAAAGACAGATCTACATTGAATACTCACTTGTTTGTTTAATCACACAAGAATTGATTCAACAAACAGTGACTGATGGTCATGTGTCAGCTGCATCATGACAGTAACATACAGATCATTCAATGTTAAAGTTTACAATATTAGTTTTAAGAAAAAATAAAGCAAAACTTTTTTGGGAATTTATTTTTTTTTTGATACTTGATATGGAGCGGCAAAAAGTTTCAATAAAAACTGAAAAGAACAGTTTATATTATTTATTTACATTTTTAGAGCTATAATTTTTTTAAATTATTTTTTTTAAGTTTTAAAAAATTCGAAGGATATCTTACTTAAAATTTTATTAAAAGTAACTAATCAAACTAATATTGCGTGACACATAATGTTTTATAGGGGTCTGAGCTATACAATCTACTTGTCTAATATTAAATTCTTTTAAATATTGTAAGTCAAACATAAAAAAAACAAGTCTTTTTTTTGAATCAATCATTACTTTAAATTCTAATTTGTTTTTCTCATTGTCGTAAGCGAAACACTCTAAATTTTTTTCATTGACTTCTTCTTGAAAGTGAATTAAAACAGCAACCAATGAACAACCAGAAAGGGAACCGATAGACTGATCATAATCATTAAGTTCAAATTTATGATTTGGATCTTCAATTAAAGAAAGTAAGTTGGTTATATCGGTAAAAAAGCAATTCGATAAATTATAATTTTTGAAATCATCAAAAGCCAAACCAG